TACACCAGCTAATCTCAATATGGATTTAGAAATGCCCTGGACACTAGAAAGGCAATATTTTCATTACAACTTCTAGTGCAACGCTGTAGGGAGATGAATCGCGATGTGCAGGCATGTTTTATAGATTTCTCGACGGCTTTTGACAGAGTCAAAAATACGAAGTTGGTAGAAATAATGAGGGAAGTAGGCATTGACAAAAAATATATACGATTTATCGCGAATTTATATTGGAATCGATCAGCATATGTGAACATAGCCGGTAACAAAAAGAAGTTACGATCCAAAGAAGCCGATCTCCTTATTTAACATCTACCCTGAAAATATATTTCGAGAGGCACTGGAAGAGACGCTCCTGAAAACATAAACAACATCAGATACGCAGATAATACTGTTATTCTCGCAAGTAGCCTAGCGGATCTTCACACTCTTCTTGAGAAAATTGATACAACTAGCGAGGAATATGGACTTAGGAATCTTAGAGGTACCTAAACACCTCTAAGACGGAACATATGACCATCAGCAAAAACGTCCATCCTCCTATGGTTTTGACTTTAAATCAATAAACTATAGAACGAGTCGAGAGATACACTTACTTGAGATTAATGGTAAATGCCAATTGGGATCAATCCGTAGAAATTAGATGTCAAATCGAGAAGGCAAGAACTGTATTCAATAACATGGAAACATTTTTTGTCAGCAGAAACCTAAGCCTACAACTGAAAATAAGAAAGGCCAGATGTTACATCCTTCGAGTCCTTTTGTACGGCGTTGAGGCTGTGGCCATGACCGAAACTTTGAAAAATGGGAAAAACGAAAGAGGTAGCATTCACAGTGAAGAGAAGAGAAATAGAGTACTTCGGACATATTATGAGGGGCAATAAATATCGACTACTGCAACTTGTTCTACAGGGAAAGGTCGACGTCAGAAGAGGACCATGAAGAAGAAGGAACTCGTGGCTGCAAACCCTACGACAGCGTTTGGGACCTACGCCAGTGGATAGAAACATCTTTACAATTATTAAGACAAGCAGCTGAGAATAAGAATATCCATGTTAATCGCCAACGTTCACAGAGAATAAGACGCGAAAGAAGAAGAAGTACCCCACTAATTGCTCATTCATTTGAAATTTGATCAAAAGGACTGGGATTTTGGAGATTCATTGGGACACCCTGTATAGGAGGAGTTATTAAAATTCATTCACTTCATTAGTAAAAAATAATTTTGATTTATCTTCCTGACTGCGTGTAATTGTTATCATATTTTTTCCTGGGTTTTAGTTAAAATGTGAAATAAAAATTTTCATATCGTTTATTTCACATTAGGTTTCAGCGAGACAACGGCGCCATTATCTTAAATCTGATGATGGCGCTGTTGTCTGGCCGAAACGTAATATGAAATAAACGATATGGACATTTTTATTTCACATTTTGACTGAAACCCGGGAAAGGAAAAAATTTGTAAAAAATTATTATTAAGTTAGACTTTCACGTCTCGAGTTCTTCGACAAGATTGCAAGATGAAAGCCATTCTTGCTAGTGAAACGTCTGGAAGAAATTATTTTTTACGACAGCATAAACTCACCAGTGGACATAAAAGGTGACTAAACTAAGAATAATTATTTTGATTATTATATCGAAAGAATTGATACATAGAAAACGTAATTATTAATAAAAAATTATACATGGAAACCCTTTGGGGTCATTTTATATGTTACTTAAAAAATTTAAACATCGGGCAACTATTCGACTATTGGCAACCTGAATATTTTTAAATTTAATACTAATTCGGTTAAACTTAGAACACACTTTATAGTTAAATTAACAAAACTTTGCGTCTGCGAGAAGGTTTGTATAGGTATACATACATATAGAAGTTTGTTTGTTTCTCAAGTATAGTCAATCTAAAAAAATCAATTATAATTCCGTTTCTTCTTCTGAAGCTGAACCAACAGGTTTATATACGTTTGTGCATGTATAAATTGTTTATTAAAAAAAATTGTGCGAAATGCGAACTACAAAATTTTCTTCACCCGTGTAGCCAACAATCAAATTTCAAATAATTATGGATAAGTGGACAACGAAATAACTGATGGTCGAAGACAAGAAATATTTTAAGCAATAAACCCTTATTGGCAAATAGATAGTTCTTCATTTTTTCGATACTAATTAAGTCTATTAAACAATGTAAAAATTGTTCAAGATTTGTATTAAGAATTCAAGGGAAATAATTTAATACATTTTGCTGGCTTGGCAGTAGGATGCACTTACCGATGTTAAACCTTGGAAATCTATTGAATTCATCTCCTACAATCTTAAGAAACACCCATTAAATTATATAACAGTTGCAATAACAATCATCTGGTGCTGATTTATGATTTATTCCATTTAACAAAATTTTAAAGTTTTCTGCAGCAACTGACTGACTGAGACAAGGGATACTTGTCTCTGGTTTACCTTCTTTCGGAGACTTTAAATCGCTCCAATCCTCGACATGAAAATAGGGCGACGTTAAACGACATTCAATCAACAGCTTAAATAATAATTTCAGCAAACAAACAGCCTTCGTAATAATTTAAGATAATATAATCACTCTGTACTTAACTACAAAGTTTTGTGTGGGTTCTAAAGTACGTTTTTGAACCTCTACAATAGGATTGTCCAGGAGGAAGGGGATTATTATAAAAAAGAATTAAAAATGCAGATTAATAAATAGGCGCAAACGTCCAACATAATTCAACCTTTACATCTGCAAATTACTCACTTGTACCTCCATTGTTCCATTTAGTATTCAGCTCATTGAAATCTGAAACAAGCAAATCAATATCAAAATACAAAAGGAGATATTCGTAAAACGAAAAAGAAAAAAACCAGACAAATATACAATTATGGGTTACGCAGCTCACAAGAAGCGGCCCGACTTGGCTTGTGGCTTTGGATGGAGCCCTTGACAACGGAACCCATGGCCTTGGAAGGTTACCCCACCTGATGTGAAGCAACCGACGCCGATGATGACCATCAACTTGCAGTCTGTCTACTTAAGAGACTTTTAGCACGTACTACTTAAGTCCTGTACTTTGTATGTTGGATACGTCGGTATAAAGCAAACGGTCAGCCGAACACCAGCTAAAGCACACAGAGACAGTGTCTAAATACCATGAAAATATTTAAGAAAAGCATGCGTTTTTGATAGTTAACTGTTAATAAAACCACTTCAGTAAACTGTTTAACACTGAAGACATTAATGAGAGATTCTATTTCATTTCCAAATCACCCATTTACGTGAATTTGACGTTAATATTTGGCCATTTTTTGCATTCGGCGTTATGTGACTAAATTCCCACGTCCATATGACGTGGGACCATTTTTTAACGCTAAACCGTAGTTTACACTTAAAGCATAGGCTGCGTTGTGCGAAAGTATGAGGACAATGTAATACGTTTGGTCATTTTTTCTTATTCAACGTTCCCGGTGTTAGTTAGTTTAGTACTCCATGTGATTAAGTGTGGTTTTTTATAGTCTAAATGCGGCTTTAAGTACCCAGCTTGACTAAACGGCATTGAGTTTAGAGGTGATAAAAATGAGGAAAGTTCCACTAGGAAAAGCCAAAGAGGTGTGAGTAACTCTAATGCGTGGAAGGGAGATATTTTAGATCCGCAAAAAGTGTTTTCACCGAATCGGAGAAAACATGCTTTACATTTTTCAGAACTTTCGCTTTGACGACGGGAACTGAACAGAATCAATTAAAAGACTTGAAGTATGTAACTTTCAGCATTTTGTTCATTCAGCTCAACATAAAGGAGTCGTGCGAACAAAAGAGTTTATTACTGGACTTGGATTACATCATACATAAAAAAACTGCAATAAAAATTTTCAGATTTTCTACAAAAACCTACAAAACACAAAAGCACCTGTCGGATATCGAAATGTGGAACATTCTAAGAAGAAATTATGTTTGTTACTTTTGATGTATGCTATTTTGAGACAAAAAATATTTTCTTATTTAAAATAGTACTTTTACTAGGTGTATTTCACCTAGTTTTTCCATTTCCCAACTATTTCATAACTAAACAAATACTATGTATATACAAAATTCAAAATTAATTTTTTATACTTCTAGGTACACGCTTTCAGTGGTCAAATATCTATCATTTTCCTACGACAATAAATTAATTCCAATGTAAAATTTCAGAAATATGCATTTTCACGAATATTTCAAAAGTTTGGCAAGTTTATTTTAGATTTATTATATATTTTTTATGATTTATTATTTACTGATATTTGCGCACATACATCTTGTGCTGACCAATTTTGAAATTAAAATGATTGAAACAAACTGCTGAAACAAAAACCAAATCGTGCGTTAATTATTAAAATTGAAATCAATTATTCGACTAACTTTTTCTTAAGAAAACTTGAACGGACTTTTCAAAAACTTTATTTTCTATTTTTCAATCGGTTGTTGCCTTTCAATTGTCTTCAGCACCATGGGTTTGTGCTTCAAATGCAAAAATTGTCCATCTTAAATTAAGGTTTTTTTGGACTTTTTATTATTAAAATTTACCMATAGCTAGAGAATACGAAATTGTTAATTATTGGACTCTTATTAGAATATGAAGCGTAACAAATATCTACATTACATAAGTTTGTGCTTCAAATGCAAAAATTGTCCATCTTAAATTAAGGTTTTTTTGGACTTTTTATTATTAAAATTTACCAATAGCTAGAGAATACGAAATTGTTAATTATTGGACTCTTATTAGAATATGAAGCGTAACAAATATCTACATTACATAAGTAGTTATATGTTTTTGCCCACTAAGATGTCATTGATGATAAAATTCAGTCGAATCTGCAGTTTCTGAGCGGTGTTTTCAGCGAATCGTTGCTAATGCACTTTTGCATTTACTGTCTGGAGCGGATATAGCGATATTGGGTTTCAAAATGCAGATAAGAAGGTTGCTAGATTATATAAAACTAAAAGTACTTGAAGGAACAATATAGGCTTTGATACCATCTAAAAAAATGATAGATTTTCTAATAGCGAAAGAAAATTCTTAAAAAACTACATATGATAAGGACTTCGATATTAGGAAGTCATAACGCATAATTTTAAAACAGGATGTTCGTTAAAAGCTGATAAGTTTTTAAATTGGTGAAATTAAGAGAAGGTTTTAGACTTGAGATGATTATCAGACAATCGGTTATTTATTTGCGGTAGTTGCTACTGAAGTTTACTACTGTTTATACAAATCGTTCAAATATGAAATCGGAAAATACCCAAATAAAATACATACTGAAAATTTTTCTTAAAGTAATGACAATCAAGTTTATAACAGAATACAAACGATTATGCAATTAATAAACACGATTTTCGTTTTTAGCATCTTCGAAAATATTTTGCTTTAAATAATCAGGAACTTTAAGATTAAGAAATTAGCTTTATTTTACTGCATCATTTTGGCTATCGTGTTTTTGTTTCTGAAAAGGCACCTGAAATATTAGTGAAAAATGTGTCAATACCTGGACCATTCAGGAACCTTTTCCTGAAATTAAACTGACAAAACTTTTGATCGGACCTACACAGATACTGTCTCCCAAATATGATTTTCAACTGCGAGGTTAAATAGATAAGTCGCAAAATGGCAAAAAAAATCAAAACAGAATTCAGATCTTATCATGTAATGGCAAGGAAATAATTATTGAGAAAGAGCGAAATTATAAACATTAAATCGACCAAAAATAAATAAAGTCAGGTAGCCCAGAAAAAAAAGACTTCCAGTAGCAAACCAATGCCAACTTATTACCCATCCACATCTATCACTCATCATTAATATACTGTGGGATAAAATATTCGCCTCGCATGCAGCCATCCCCAATTAGCGCAATCGAATCTTAAGACTCATGAAAATTAATTACCTTCCGTTGATGTACATTTTGAAGACAAAAAGCTTGAGCCAGCTGAGCTCATAAGATGGATTACAAGTGCAATTGACGTCTCAAGGCGAAGGCCTCGAAAAGAACGACCCCCAATCGAAAGCGAGAATACCTCGTCTGGTAAAGCTGCACACTATTGCATATGATCAAGGCTGTGAGGGGTATTCCACGGGACGTAAAGGCGTAAAGGCCATTAATATAATGTCTTTGTAAATTGCAATTGGTGTCTGTTACTGCAATAAATTACTGCAATAAATAATAGTGTTCTTCATACGATTGAAGGAAATACAAGAGAGACAAATGTTGGCAAATATCGATACTTTTTCTTTAAGGAATTTTTCCAACATTTCAACACTGAAAATGCAGATTGTTTGTTGAAAAATCGACCAAAACATCAAATTCATCTGAAACCCGCAAGAAATTTTACAGACAGGACAATAACTCAAATAAAGCTATTCATTTACTGGGAAACCAGAATACTCATTTACCACCCATAAACTGTTTCGAGAAAATGGTCATTTAAGAAAAATGTATCATCATCAGGGTCACTCAATGAAGCTGTTCAAAAAAATTCCATGTTCCAACAAGGCATATTTTGTAAGTTGAAAACACAGAAAAGGTACTGTTCTGACGATTCAATGTTTATGTTTAATAGCGGTGTTAAATGTTTATGTTTAACAATCTAAATTGTCGTTATTGGGCATACAAAAACCCCAGCTTGAATGAGGGAAGGCAACACTCAGCTTCTTGGAAAAGTTAAAGTTTGGGCAGGGATTGTTGACGAGCTAGTAAAAGAATCGATTTTCTTCCAAGGAAATCTTAATACATTCAAATTTGGCTAATCTCTTTTCTGATCGCAATAAGGCGGTTGTCTCCAATAGGTTTTCCATCTGGCTTCTATATTTCAGGCAGACAGATTGGTAGAAGGTGGCCTGCTGAATAACCTCCCATATTTTCGGATTTATCTCTTATGGGCAACTTTTTTATAGAGTAGTTAAAAACAAATTAAAACAAAACTAGAAAACATTGAGGAGTTGCAAGAACGAAAGGTGTCCAGGTATAATTGCAAAAAAACTTGTCTGATTCAGTTAATTAAAATGCAATGAAACCTCCTAATAAGTATGAACTTATTTCAGTTGCAAGAAGAAATGTTGGTGGTTTTAAAGTGCTTCAAATGAAATGAAAAATACTGCTGTAAATCGTCCGAATCCATGTACAGAACAAAGTAAGAAACTGACATTTTCAGATTAAAAATTTGATGTAAATGATATAGTTTTACCCTTACTTAACACTCACACTGTATTTACAGAAATAAATAATTAGTATAATTCCTAGACAGTTAAACAATTTTGATCTTCTCTTTCTCGGTAATCAATTTCATTACTAATTTCCTACTTAAAATAAGGAAAAAAACAGAAATGAAAGGAATCGACCGTGACTTTAAAAATCCCGATTCTTTAGGCAAAATGAATAAATTTGTCTTCAAGCAGACCCATTAATAATAAATTTATATTACATTTACCCTTGTGCATCAGTAGCAAATAACTAAATCACAACAGTCGATTTGTTGAAAATGCATTTGATGTTAAAACATTCAATTTGCATTTTATTAACATTACATACTAGTTTATATATAGAAATATTTTCTAACATTAGAATTTATTTATTTTTAATTTTTGTTTGGATTTTAATTGCATTTAATAAAAAATATGTACCAAGTTTGTTGAAAAAATTTATTCACTATAAGAGTTTAAGTTTGAATTGTAATGCAAGGTTGGTAAGTGATGAATAAAAATATTAAATTTATTCTCCTCCTCTTTATTGAATAGTAATAATAAAATAATTTTGAAATATTGGCCAACTAGATTAAAAAAAAATAATTTTAACCTTTAGAAAATTATAGCTAAATGTAGTTATTCTCTAATTATTTTTCAATTCAACTTGCGTCTCAAAATGTTTATGAAAAGTATTTAATTCCATATTTTTTTATTTGCGCGAACTCGAATAAAAAACGATGAGTTGATAAATGACTTTCCCAGCGCAAAATCATAAAAATAATATTTTTGATTACATACTAATTTGCAGTTTGTAAAATAAAAGTTCAAAAAATATATTTGCCAAAACAAATTTTAAAAACAATTATAAAAAGTGGTTTTTATTTAGTTATAACTTTAATAAGTGGGCCCCATATTCATGTTAGTCCCGGGCTTTAATCCGTCCCTGAATATCCTTTGTATTTTAACTTCGTTGTACTTTTCACACATTCCTTTCTGAAATGTTTGATTTCAAAGTATAAACCCAACTGCCTCAAATAATATAGTAAATTGTTACCGGACTTTGAAATAAATTTCAGGCAGGATTTCATGACCTTTGCTTTCGTAGACAAGCAAAAATGCTTTAAGCTGAAGATACGTGTATTGTTTGACGAGTTTGTCTTTCTTAGAATGCAAATGTATTTTTTACATTCTGAGCAACAGCAAAGCTAGAAAACAAAAATTTTAATAAAAAAGCGTCCCTTTTTATAGCAAATAAATTAATACAGACAAACTTCTTAAAAAGCTGATTTAAAGTGCAGGTGCTAGTATTGTTTTCCAGCCTACCTGAAGACGACTTTTTAGATCTGAAGGTTTCATTGAAATAGCTCCAGTCCCTTTTAAGATCTTAAGTATCGACAATTATAAGAAATGTAGGAACTACTGATATTTTCTTGCGCCTAAACCGCTTATCGAGGAATTAGAAAATAGACAAAATTATTACAAGGAATGAAAAATTAAATTTTGATAGACCGATCTTGACTTTAATTATCGTTTTATTACTTAAATTATGAACTTGAAGGACTCCACCGCTTTGAGGCACCATTTACTTGAAATCCATCAAACTTGAAATTATATAAAAAAATACTCACCCTCATTTAATTTTCGCTTTTCAACTGACGCGCTAGTAATTGATAGTTTCGAAAGTCCGAATTGAAAGTTACTCGCTCGGTATATTTTCCGAAAGGTGTTGGAAATATGTCGGTTACTTTTCCGTGGTACACGCGGTATAAGAGAACTATAAAAATCATCATGATTAGATAGACTGGCCGCAGACAAGCTATGGTCGATTCACACAGGTATTAGTGGCTGGTAAGCGTGGTACCAACAGGTGGGGGTACCAAGCCGAAGAGTTTTAGCGCTGGGTAAGAACCAAGAAAATCACTGATAATTTTTCCAAAGTTGCTCAGTGCCCTAGCGATAACTCTGCTGGGTATTTCAGATCTTTTTTGGAATTTGTACCTGCTTTCACTGTATAAAAGGTTTTTGGAATAATATTTTGTTTGGTTCTTTATTATTAGTTGAATTTGGAGATTTCATAATTAGAAAACGTTGACTAGAAAATCAGAAAAATGAAATGAGCAGAAAATTTTAAAAAGAACTATAAAAGGAAAATTGCCATTCTGTCAATATTCACTCGGCCTGGTAAGAGTACTGGGTACCATACACTGATATGTTAAGAAAATTAAGTGAAAATCAAATGTGTACAAAAATATAACATTTTTATTAGGAACATTTGGACTAAAGACTAATACAATACAAGCATACAAGCAAAAATGTTGTTACATTTTTTCATACCAATATTGGCTTGAAATTTCTTACTATATTTCTTTTCTATGACTTTTTTTAGCTCAAACTGTCTGTATAACAGAAAGAAACAAAATAACATAGTTTTTATCAGTATAACATAGACAGCGCTAAAATGGCCCATTTTGTGAGTACTTGAGTAGCCGTGGTCGCGGACAAGAAAAGAAGTAAAGAATGAAATAAAAGAAGCTCACGATAAAAAGTCACGCGGGCGGAGACGGGCAGGGGCTGAGGCTGTGAGACCGGTTCCTTGAGACAACTTCGATGTTGCCAAAGGGGCCCTCAGTTTTTATTATCAAGAATTAGTAGAAGTAAAGGGCCGAATAACAGGTATTATTAACTATGGACCAAGTTGGGTCTAAAAGTCCAAATCGATTTTATATTCCATAGAAACTGATCAAATGCACTTAAATAAGATGAGCACTTTGTTACGATGGGAAATGGGTTTCAACTTCAATAAACTTCATTTGGACAAGAGCGATTTTTAGTCTTTTACACAAACTTGTTTCGAGGGGATATGGAATTCTTGCAACGTTTTAAAGTTGTGGGAATTTAAAAAAATCACATTGAATAATTGTAATGGTGACGCTGTTCTGGCTAAAGAGAATTGAAAATTGCTAAATTAAGAAAGGGTTTTTTACGGAACGTACGAAACTAATGCCTAAATACTTTTGCCATTAGCCATCTACTTGAAGGTTTTTTTGTTGAATTTCCTACTGGTCGATTCCAGCAAGGAAATAGCCATTAAAAAAGCTTAACAGGATCTTAAGACAAAATGAAAACAAATATTAAACTTAGGCATAGAACAACTTTCACATCTGCAGGTTCTAGAAAACCTGTTAAAACAAAATCGTCTTTTAAAAATAATAGTTGGGGTTTTCCGGCAACTGCTTGAAACTGGTGAGATTTTCGTGTTTCCATCGAGGACTTAAATTTTTGCTCAACGTCTCGCAAGCACGAGTGGCTTGCATCTTCAGAGATGGTTTGGTCAGCGCAGCAACGACTAAATACCACAGAAATAAATTATTTTCCCTTACGCCATATAATTATTTTGATTATAATATTTATGGAGCATATACAGTGTGTTTTCGCGTAAAGTTTATAAGAACCCGATGTCATATTTCAAACGAAAGAGTTCTGAGGGTGCAAGCTACACGTGCTTGCAAAACGTCCTTACCGCAATGGTCTAAACGGTCAAAAATGCCATCAGTTTTCGGAATAATTATCTATATATGTGCTTTTTGTAGAGGCAGCAACTTTTTTCGAATTATTATTACTTATTATTGGAAGTTTCTGGGTTTTCTATTGCCTTTAGTGTGGTTGTTTAATTTTATCGTCATATATTGTTTTAAGCTCAAGACTGTTTATCCTATATATCTCTTATTTAAGTTGATTTGAGATCTGAGAACTGAGGTTCTGAATGTGTAGTTGAAAAAAATATTACCTTCTTTATGTTAAAATACAAATAATATTAATTTTTGTTTTCCTTGTTCATATCCCTAATGATGCGGGAACAATTACTATAACGTAGGCAGGCGAAATTATTGAAACTGTTTTATTACGATCAATAATTTCCAACTATTATATCGGAATAAAAAAGCGTCTTTTTGTAGCAAACGTAGTTCACACTTGGAAAGATCGAAGTAGGATTTGCTTATACTCCAAAGGCAAGGACCAATTATAAATTATTATTTACTAAATGATTAAAATCTCACAAAGTGTACTCTGTTACACAAACACGCAACACGATTAACTAAAAATATAAAACAATATAAAATGATGATGGACGCATTAATTTTCCTTTTGCATAATGCAAAATCTGGTTATGCTTCGCAAAACTGGAATAAAATGAACTTAAAGCTCTATACATTTTGTTCGGAGATAACCAATCAAACACCACTAAGTTACCTTTGTCGAGATTTTATTCGCTTATATTTCGCCTTTTTCACATTAAAAGTACCTTCTCAAATCTGTGACACGAAAGTTTCTCATTGCATCTTGCAAGTTGCGCATCATATAGTACAATCTTTCAGGCGATATAAATAATACTAAAAATACCAAAAGAGCTTTCAGTAAAAATAGAAGAATTCTTGCTGGAAATGTTATTATGAATATGAAAATTCGAATCGGCAATAGAGTTAGTTGTAGGGGCAATATCAGAATATAAGAAGCGGTTATTATCAAAGGAATAAAAAAATTTAATATGTAAGAGAGTGCAAAGAATATGTAATAAACTGCGCTGGTAATGTTTGTGAAAATTGCACTGGCAATTGAAGATGATAATCCTAAAAAAAACAATAACATTACAAGTACTGTTACGAAAATAATTTTAATTTACCTATTTCCATACGGATGCCATCTTTTTGAAAAAAATCCCGTTCACATTAGGCAACATATGTTTCGTTAAGGCCAAGTCGTGCCTTCTCTGAAGCAAAGTTTATGGCTGATTTAATCATCGTTTTTCTACAAAAACCAATAAAATTAAATTTTTGTTTGTCGGCTTTCCATCTGTCATTCCAACATCTTTAATGACAAAAAAATGGTGCGTTCAATTAGTGTTTCACCAAAATTTATTAAGAATTATTATTAATTAATTAAGAAGATTTAACAGTAATTGTGGTAATTGTCGGTTATTTAGCAAACAAAGATGCTTATTATATGTTATTATTATAGAAGCTTGTAACAGAGATCAAACTTGTAGCTAGTAGACAGAATGTTTCACTTCAAATGGCATTAGATTAATTTGTCCAGAAAATAGCTATTTTTGATACTAAATCGTGAGTATCGTTCGTTCGTCGTCCGTAAACCTCTCGGAGGGGTGTGGTGGCATCATGTAGGAAGTCCATCAATCGTTTGCCTCCAGGGATTCTCTATCTTGGGCGTGGTGTATTGCACCTTGCAGGCTCTCTCCTACCTGATTTTTCATTTGGTCTAGACCTGGGTAGCACTGTGTTGAGTTGCGCTATTGAGTTGTTGCGGCTCTCTGAGTTAACGAGTCATAACTTATCGGTTAATGAGTTAAAAGTCATTTATTAAAGCTTTACGAGACCCGAGACTGAAATTTTCACATCTAAAAAAAGGTCATCAACATTTTTTCTGAGTAAAGTTTTACTACTTTGTTCAAATAACTAAAAAATAGATTTTCTCAGCAACAGAACTGAGTGCAAAGAAAGTCGACGAGTTTTTTCGTAAAATTAATCTCTTAATTTTTTTGCATAAAAGATTCAGTTTGCCAGTATTTTACAGTACATAAAACGTTAGGAAAAACGAGGTTTTTTGTGTTTAGAGACAGTGATTGTTGATAAATATTGACATAAAAGTGAAGAAATCCCAGTTCCGAGAGTTTTCCAAATAACTGACTGTAAACTTTCGCTTTTTCAGTTCGGGGAAATATTTTTGGAAAAAGACCCAGAAATAATTATTAGGGTATTTCTCCATAATTCCAAGCTGCAAAAAGTTTTCCAACTATTTTTGTAAAACGGTTAAGAAGGCGAGTGTTCCAATAAAATCGATCTTATAGTTTTTCACAGAAAATACTTCAAAATTGTCAGTATTTTAAGTAAAACCAAAAATAATGCGATTTTTGCATAGAAAGAATTGCTTAATAGAAACTTTGTTAAAACTGGAATGACCTAAAAATTTAAAGGAACTTTAAAAATCTTCAGAGCATTAAGGGAGGCGAGTTTTCGAAATAATTTTTGGTAAACTTCTGATCTCTTGTCGTTTTTACAAGATAATCCTAATTACTTTCGGTAAAAAACTGATTAAATGTATTCGGTTTTTGTGCCAAATTCGAAGCTGAAATGGGGTTTTTAAAGTTCCCTGCAAACAGATGAATGAGGCGAATTTTCTAGCAAAATCAATTTTGTAATTTTTGGCTGAAAAGGCCGCATTATTGTCAGAAAAGAAGAAAATCATCAGAAAATAATGGTTTCGATTTTCGCATTTTCGATTAAAAACTTTTAGTTTTGTGATCGGTTTTGGAGACAACCTTAATGATTTTCAGGGAAAAACAGGGAAAAAGAATTTATTATCGTTTTGGTCTCGAATCCGACGCTGAAAAAGGTTTTTGTAAAATATTTGCAAAGCTATAAATTTATTTTGTAATTTTTTGCGTAAAAGTCCTTGAGATTGTCAGTATTTTCAAGTAAAATTCTATCGAATAGAGCGTTTTTGAGTGAAAGTATAACAAAAAAAGTTCAATTAAACCTAAAAATCCACATTTTTTTAACAAACTCTACAGTTTTCAGAGTAATTGAGGAGACGAGATTTCCAAATCGTCTGTTATAAGCTTTCGCTTATTCTGTTCGTTTTTAGATAAAAAAATATTTGACTTTTGTTCCTAATTCGAAGCTGGAAACGGATTTCAAAACTTTCACAAAGCGGTGAAGAATTCGATTTTTATTTTATAATTTTTCGCGGAAAAACCCTTAAGATTGTCAGCATTTGTAAGTGAAGCTTTAGAAAATTGAACATTTAGAAGAAATAGTAACTTAGCTAAAACTGAAAAATTCTGAAATTTTAAAAATATTATTAATAAATGGCCCTTAAAATAAGTATAAAAACCAGTAAAAAGTAATCAACATTTCTCCAGCAACGGAATTGAGTTACTGCACCGGTGCGTTGGGTTGGCGCACCAAGCCATTTGCGTGGGACTGCGCCAACTCTTAAAAATTCACTGAGTTACCCATAAAGGAGAGAAAGTAAATTTTACTTACTCTATGGAGTTACCCAGGCCTACCATAGAGCTCAGTGGAGCGGTTTTCTGTTGCATGTCTTTCTAGTTCCACACATATTCTGTATATGTGGTTGTTTTTGCCTCTCCTCGTGAATCGTGAATATATAGAATAGAAAACGTGATTAAGTGGTGGACTTTTACCAAGGCATAGTGTGAGGGTATTAAAAGTTATATAATCCCGGGCTAAATTTTGTGGTCGCACAAGATCGATAAATTTTGTAGTTGCACGGAAATACATTTAATTTGATTGTGCAAATAGTGATAAAATATAATTATAATTTTATGAAAACATGAATATGTCGGTTCGAAAAATTTGCTGGCTTGTTCCGAGTAGTTGAAACATCGCGCGGTTGACTTTAGGAAATCAAAGAAATTTCAATTCACTCTTCAAACTCGCTCGCTACCAAAACATACAATAGTAATCAACTTAAGTTAAATATATACTAATTATATGTCGTAATTCAGTATGAATTGCATCTATTCTTAACTAAGAAAATAATGAATACTATGTTTATACGTTTAAAGATAAACAATATGTTGTCGTTCTTTAAATTAGAAAACTGCATATGGATATCAATTATGTTGTGATTTGCCATATGCATTTGAAAGATATCAAGTTTCTTTTCATAAAGAGTGAGAATGACTAATATTTCAGGGTGTAACTAATTCTTCAGGGCATTTTACAAATAATAACAGTTTAAATGAGCGTAGATCCGTAACAGTGCAGTTGTTTCGCTACCGGCTGTTAAATATTTGAAAAACATGTCTAAGTTGGTTTGAATTATCTCGAAGAAAAGCTTGATGATTAATTGATTACACTTCATAACAAGCTTGTTTTGCAACTAAGCAATTATTGTTCTTCTGAGCGAATTTCAAGAAAATTATTCTGCTGATCTGTTGATTGACTGTTAATGTGTTGCTGCTTCTTGCATCATGGTTATCAATCTGTTTATGGCGATTTCTAGTTAATTTCCGCTATATTTTTTCTACACTATAATGTTTCAAGCTTGCTCCAAGACGAAGATTTGTAACTTAATAAGAACCTATTTTAATAAAATCGAATATCAGTGTAATTGCTAGTAAAGTTGCTGAATGTGATCACAAGGGCGGATCCAGGATGGGGTCATGGGGGTCATGATCATCCCAAACTAAAAAAAACACGCAAATCTAAATCTTCTTGAAATCAAGACTTTTTGGGAAAACTGCCAAAATCCTTGTTGATGGTTCACTTTCTAAAAAGGCCCTTTAATTGTGCCCAACTATTTCATATTCGTTATGAAATAGTTGGGCAGAGAGTCTGTTGCTCAAATGGTTGATGGAATGATGTAAAAATGAGCGTTCTTGATCATTTTACTTCCGATAAATGAGCAAACAAGGCGGACACAAAAAATGTTGGCCCAATCTTGCTCCTAATTGTCTGATATTCAAATTTCGCTTTCTGGCTCAAAACTACTCGAATTTTCTCACTCATGTTGTTATGACTGAATCGAATTTTGAATTCTCTCCCCAACTATTTCATATTCGTTATGAAATAGTTGGGCAGGGAGTCTGTTGCTCAAATGGTTGATGGAATGATGTAAAAATGCGCGTTCTTGCTCATTTTACTTCCGAAAAATGAGCAAACACGGACGGACACCAAAAAATGTTGGCCCAATCTTGCACCTAAATGTCTGATATTCAAATTTCGCTTTCTGGGTCAAAACTGCCCAAATTTCCTCACACTTTTTTAGGGTTACCAAATTGAAAAAACCTACGACCGGAGTCGAAATAGTCGACCAAAGTGAGCTTCGGACCAAAATATATACAGTTTCATTAATTTTTATTATGTTTAAAAAGTGAAACATTCGATGCAGAGATAGATAATAATACCGATAATTGTCGATTAGTTCGCGATTACTCACAATGCAGCTTTATTTGCTTTTTTGTCCACCACTAAAAAATAACAAAATGTACCTATAGCCTAACAGCTTTTTGCTTTTTAACCGGAGAAATGCTAATCCGGTTGAGAAAATATTTATAACCTGAGCTTATGAAAGAAAACCTAATACTTCGGTCAATAACCGGAGATTTGGCAACCCTAATGCTGTTATGACTGAATCGAATTTTAAATTATCTTTCTGTGCATCTTGTATTCAACGGTTTATGCAGTGGATAAATCTATCTTTCCTATTGTTTTCACCTCTTCAAACGATACATGAATTCTCCTCATGGGTCCCTCCTTGCAAATTAGGTTTTTCTATTAAATAAACAAGATAATAAACTTTCACATGTTCCTACATTTTTTTTTTTCGGTGAGGTTTGGGAAATGCTCTTTTATGCACTCCCAGAGCTGGTGGTCTGTCGCTCTGGGTTGTGTGGGATTCCAGCTAAGCTGTTTACCCACTAAAACCCTTTCCTCACCGCCGAGGTGGTGTTTGGCCTCGCTCAGGCCCATCCTGAAGAGGTGTTTTTTACAGGGGGGCGTGTCTTGTTAAAAAGGCCACTATCCTCCTTATTTTTTGCCTGCTGAGACCTAGCAGTTCATTTTTACGTACTGATTATGGAGGTCCCACCAACTGCTTTGCGGTATGGAGTCGAGGTGTCTCCTCCCAGTACTTTCTGTGTTGTTCCAAGATCCACTGCCCAATTGCCACCCTAACTTGGGCATGATATACCACAAGCAGGTTCTTGGTTGGTCAGTGGTTTCTCGATCCCTGCCTTAGCAAGTTCCGCAGCAATCTCGTTTTCTTTGTTCCTGTTCGTACCAGTTGCCCAAGTAAGTTTTACTCTGTTTGAGCAATCTAGCACACATTGTGACCTGATTGTGTACGATTTCAATGCATTTATTGTCGCTTCGTCTCCGTTACGATGGTAATGTGCTAATGTGTGTAGGCTCTTTCCTTCATTTTCCGGGCGCATTTTGTTATTGCTAGGATGCTTGCTTGGAAAGCTGTCGTAGTTGTATCCAGGTTTAAGGTAATCCTTTCCCCAGTTCTTCGTCTTTCGACTATACCAGCGCCTGTGCCCGACACTGGTTTTATGCCTTCCGTGTACCATACGGAGTCCCCTGTGATGGCTGATGGAGTCTCTCCACCTTCTCGCCCCTCGTTTAGAACATATGTTCTAAAAGGTACCGAGATGCTTAGAGTTTTGATTCAATCAGCTTTGATCTCCTGGGTTATCTTCCTACATAATAACGTATAGCGGATTGAGGTCTGGAACTCTTCAAAAATGAATCAGAGTAAATAAATAAGAATAATAAGAATAACTATGATTATCAACAAAGTAAAAATAACGTCGTTTTTCTGATTTGAGGAAATCAACCACAGGTTGATAACCGTCGATTACTACTACTAAAACTACGATTGATTAAAACCATATAAAAATCTTAAAAAAAACTTGGATCTCTTAAACTTTCGGTATAATCATTTGATTGTTGAAAGTCTTAAAGCAACTTAAGCCCTTGTCTCTCATGCATCCGTTTATACGATGGTAACTACAGAGAAAGTAAAATATTATTAAGTAGTAATTAGTAAAACATTATTTTACTTACTCTATGATGGTAACCACCATCGTATAAACGGATGCATGGGACACGGGCTGAACACCTCTAGAGATACTGGTGTTGTGCAAAATAATTACATCGATTACATATCTTATTTGATTCATACACCATTCTCAAGAATTTTATTTATTGTTTATAAAATTGTTAGTCTTTATTTAACCTGTCTAAATAGCATTATAAAAAAACTTAGACGAGCCTTTCGCAATTAGAACAATGTGCAATTTATAATATTATTTAATAAGGAACTAAGACCCAAGAGCAATTCTTGGGAATCTAGTGAAATATTTATACTACTTCGATCCATCGTACGATGTGTCGCATTGACCATTGTCAAGAATTTGTCTATAGTTTATCAAGTGACCACCAGTTTGCAGTCAGCTTAGACAAGTGACAGGCCAACCAGCAAAATATCTGACAGACAGTTGCCTTCATCCACAGAACACCTCTGAACAAGAAGTGACAACT